TACAAAACGTACGGAAAATTAACAAAGTTTACTTTATCGCTAGATCGCTTCCGATGAGCTCTTGGGGGCTCTCAATGACTTCAAGATGACCCAAGGGGGCCCAAGCGGGGTCCAAGACGATCCCAACAGCGCCCAAGACCGCCCCAAGAGCGCCCCAAGAGGCTATGGTAAGGGTTCCGGCAGCAAGGGCGTACTTAGGACGCCCCCTTTTACCGATGGCTTCCAAGATGGCCCCGAGGGGAGGCCCACGAGCGCACTAACAGAGCCTCAAGTGGGCCAAGGAGAGCCCCAAGAGCGTTGCAAGTCAAGAACGTTCATCAGGCAACCACCCTGTTGCCTGTTGTTGGATGGGCTAGTGGTGATTCAGAGCACATCCTGGATCGCTTCCTGATGGTCCTGGGGCCCGAAGCGGACCTCCAGAGGCAGAGAAATTGGTGAGAAGTCTCTTCGAACCTCCCCCCTCACCCTAGGCTGACGGAGGTCCGCGTGAACTTTGTTTGTTGGCTGCTTCGCATCGTGTTTCCCACGTGCGAAGACAGACAGACAGAAGCCGTACGCCCGCGTCGGCAGGCGCTACATCATTGACGAATTCAAACATACGGGAGACGCACGAAGGGAGGAATAACGCGAGATGGGGGATCCTTGTGCGCGCGCTGCTGCCAGCCCGTCAGGGCGCGCATGCCGCGTTCACGAGCTCTCTCCAGAGATGTTCGTCTTGAATGAGATGTGCCCACGTGCGAAACAGGCGGCGAAGTCCAAGCATTGGCTCGGTATTTCAGTAGTCGACGCGCCAAATGCGAACGAGCTGGTGGCCGACGCGTCAAACGGGCGCCAACCAGGTAAACGCAAGCAGTGCGGATACAGTCGTCGCCCCAAAATGCGCACACCCAGCTATTCGCAGGTGCGTACAAGTCGGCGAAGCTACGGGATGGGGAAAGGGGAAGGCGCAATCGATCCACGGGGCTTTGCGCGCGGCAGAAGGATACAACGGCAGCTTACCTAAAAAAGAACCCGCCTTTGCACCGCTGCTGCTTGTTACCCTTAAGTCGGGCCCGTCCCTCTACTGGAGAAATATCAATTTGGGAATACGTTTTGTTTGTTTTTTTATACTGTTCGTCAAAAATCCCCCTGTAGAGGGACATGCCCGACCTAATGCTACACCTCCGTCACTACTCTGAGCTCGTGCTCATGCGTCGGCGGCCGCTGGCACGCACTTCTCGTACCTTCCATTGGGCTGGCACTCCATCCTGCCGACGGCCACCCTGCCGTAGGTCTGGTTGCCGCCCGAGATGTTGCCGCCTTCCACGCTCCACTCCTGAGACGGGAGGAACTGGCACGGGTGCACCTCCATGGCGTGCCCAGGCGACCCGCTGCCCTCGCCGCCAACCTGCTCGCCGTCGACGCGCGTCAGGCACCCGCCGGTCTCCCCCCCGACGATGTACTTGTCCGCCCTCAGCTTGAAAGCCGCGGGGCCTCTCGAGGCGCAGAGCGTCATTCCGTGAAACATCTGGTTGATGCGGACGTCTCGGTGACTGTAGAAGCAGTAGGCGCCCTGCTCGCTGGGTGCGCCGCTCTCCACCACGTAGAACTCCTGTGCCGTCGTCGGCAAGCACTTCTCGTACCTGCCATTGGGCGTGCACTCCATCTCGCCGACGGGCACCCGGGGGTACTGCTGACCGCCACCCACAATCTGATTGCTCTCCGCACTCCACTCCTGCGACGGGAGGAACTGGCAATCCTGGACCGCGATGGACTTGCCGACGCGCGTCAAGCACCCGCCAGCCTCCCCACCGAAGATGTATTTGTCCGCGTTCCACACGAAGGTCGCGGGGCCGTTGGAGGCGCAGAGCACGAATTGGTTGACCTTGTGGTTTGTGCGGACGTCGGTGTGGCTGTAGAAGCAATAGGCGCCCTGCTCGCTGGGTTCGCCACTCTGCACCACATAAAACTTCCCGACCTTCGGCTGCCCGCCGGCACGCTGCTCCACGCGCTGCAGGAGCGAGGAGACATCCCCCCCCGTGGGCGCCATGCCCGGCCAGGCGACGTGCGCGCAGAGGGCGGCGCCTCCGCACACCGCAAGGAAGGCCGCAATGCGATGCGATGCGATGCGACCACCGCTGCGGACAGTGTCGGGGCCTAGCTCAGACCAGGCAGGCGAGGCCGTGGCAAGGAGCGCCGCCATGGTTTGGGAGGCGCCTCCTTCTGGCTGGCTGCTGGCCGAACCTGCGGTGTGGCAGCCTGACTGCCTGAGCCAGAATGGCTTGAGGCAAAAGGGCTACAGTCGAGATACGGAGCGCCAGTTAAGGAACGAAGCCCCTCTTTTGGCCCCAGCAGCGCCTGCGTGGACGCGGTGCGCTGGAGAAACCGCCAGGGAAGGACCTGAGGAACATCGTGCCCCTTCCGGACACAAATTGTTCCTTATTTCAGCGTCTTGGCTGCAATGACGCAGGAGGTCCGCACGGACGTCTTGGGTCGGCACTGTACCCCCAGCACCATCCTGCGCGGCGCCGGAGTCGCAGACGGGGGGGGTGGGAAGGGGTCCAGCGCCGACACAGAGGGGTGCGCCCGAGGGGGCTCCAGCGCGGGTCCCTCACTATCCGCGCGGGCCTGCGAAAAAATACTGTCATCGTGCTAATTAACACTGCATAGGAGCGAATGAGCCGAAATACGATCAAGAAAGTCGTGGTTTAAGAAACCTGGGCCAGGTTTCCCAAGTTTCTACAGACAAACCTGGGCCAACGTTTTCTGTTCACGCTGGAGGGGCGAACGTGCTTATGAAACTGGGCCAGCTTTCCCGCAAGCTGGTGAAGAAACGTTGGCCCCTTTTTCCAGGAGGAGGCTTCTGAATCGGATGCTCCACGGTAGGCTTTTCAGGCCACGGCGACCCTAGGCCACGAAGAGGCTCACCGACCTAGAGCAAAGGAACGGCCAGAAAACCACGGCCCCTCCTGAGCCCAAAGCGGTCCTTCCTTCAAGATCTCGACTGGTGGCGCAGCATTTCGCTCTTCGAACCTCGACCACCCCCGAGTCCTCCCTCCCCTGCCGCGCGGAATCCGCGCATCGGTCAAAATCGATCTCCAGCCTCCTCTGGAGCCCATCCTGGCCAGTCCTTCGAGCTGCGCCTGGCCGTGACGACGAGACCCTCCGGAAGCTCCACCTCGAAGCCTCAGTCCTCCTCGAGCCTCCGCAGCCCTCCCTGCGCGCGGGCCCCATGGAGGCGAGGCGCCGACCCCTTCTCCGCAGGGGTGTGAGCGTTTCGTCCCGGGCCCGTGCTGTGTGACGGCCCCGGGCGCCCAAAAGTGAGGACAATCACCAGTTTCCGATGTCCCGTTCGGATTACCTACATGAGCCCCACAGGGAGGGGGCTCCCGCCTGAGACTTCCTCACAATTCACTCACAGACGAGGCTCACGTTGGATATTTCCTCCCTACTCAGGCCTGAGGAACCCAAAAATGACGACAGTCAGGGCTCCCGCCTGAGACTTCACCATAATTCACTCACAGACGAGGATCCCGCTTGATACTTCCTCCACATTCAAGCCTAATGAACCATAAATGACGATAATCATAAGTTTCCGATCACCCGCTCGGATCCAACATTAAACGCAAGCCCCATAGAGAGGGGGCTCCCGCCTGAGACTTCCTTACAATCCACTCACAGACGAGGCTCTCACTTGATACTTCGTCCATATTCAAACCTAAGAAACCCAAAAATGACGACAGTCACAAGATTCCGATGGCCCGTTCGGATTCCCAACAGGAAATGCGGGCCCCATAGAAAAGGGGCTCCCGCCTGAGACTTCCAAACACTTCGCTCACAGACGAGGCTCCCGCTTGATACTTCCTCCATATTCAGGGCTGAGGAACCCAAAAGTGACGACAATTACAAGTTTCCGATGACCCGCCCGGATTACCAACATGAAGTGCGGGACCCATAGGGAGCTCCCGCTCGAGACCTCCCTCAAAGTGAATATGTAAGAATGCAAGTGTGAGAGAATATGCTTGCGTACATGATTGCGCGATTGCGGGATGATGATGATGATGATGATGATGATGATGATGATGATGATGATGATGATGATGATGATGATGATGATGATGATGGTGATGGTGGTGATGAGGATGGGAATGACCATGGTGTGGTGGCGAGTGAGTAAGTGAGTGAGCGAGTGGGTGAATGACAAGTGGCACGCGAATGGGCGAGTAAGCAAGGGAGAGATGATGATGATGATGATGATGATGATGATGATGATGATGATGATGATGATGACGATGATGATGATGATGATGATGATGATGATGATGATGATGATGGTGTTGATGGTGATGATGATGGTGGTGGTGGTGTGATGGTGATGGATATGGTGATGATGATGATGATGAAGATGATGGTGATGGTGATGGTGATGGTGATGACGATGATGATGATGATGTTATCGGAGTGTTGATGCTGATGGTGAGTATGATGATGATGCGTAGTCGTGATGATGCCTATGATGGCGATGGTGAGGAAGAGAGGGAGGAGGAGAGATCCTGCGCGGGGGTGCGCAAAGAAAACATAAACCCCACTTAGGACGCAGGGAAAATTAGCAACAGCTTCACAGATGGAGGGCGCGTGGTTTTCAATATGTGGCTCTCGCCTGAGTGCCGCGCACATCCGTTTCAAAAATGCAAAAATGTTTACTGATTGAGAGCGGGTGGTTTTCAAAATGTAGCCCTCGCCTGGACGCAGCGCACATTCACTGTAGAAATTTGCAAGAGCTTCACGGATTGAGGGCGGGTCGTCTTCAAAATGTGGCTCTCGCCTAAGCGCCGCGCAAACTCGTTGTATAAAAATGCAGGAGCTTCACGGTTTGAGGGCAAGTGGTTTTCAAAATGTGGCTCTCGCCTGAGCGCCGCGCACATGTTTTGCAAACAAGTGCAAGGGTTTCACGGATTGAGAGCGGGTGGTTTCCAAATGTGGCCCTCGCCTGAGCGCCGCGCACATTCGATTTGAACATTTGCAAGAATTTAACGGGACCCCATGGTCAATGTACCAGAAATGGCGATTTGGAAAGACTCCGGATTTGTGAGGGTGCAACAGTTACGTTGGTTCGCGGTGTTGAAGTCCCAGGACTGGTGTTCTGACACGATTCAGGATCGTCAAGACGCAGCGGTCAGGTTGATCCGTGGCGTTGGAATCCCGAGAATGGTATTTTGGCATGTTACAGGGTCTGCAAACGGTTGTCTCCCAACGTGGCACTTCTCTTAATGGAAATGAACCCTTGTAAGGGGCCTTTGAAGAGGAAGCTTGGAGGGAGGGTTTATTTCAACATCGTTGACGAGCTTGGGTTTACACAAGTCCTCATCCTCCTCCAGCTCCTCCTCCTCCTCCTCCTCCTCCTCCTCCTCCTCCTCCTCCTCCTCCTCCTCCTCCTCCTCCTCCTACTCCTCCTACTCCTACTCCTACTCCTACTCTTACGCCTACTCCTACTCCTCCTCCTCCTACTCCAAAACCCAAAATAAAAGGGGGGGTCCGATTTTTGGGGGGTCTCCTCGGAGCTGTCTTGGAGGGTTCCAGCCCTGAGATCCTGGCGTTGCAATTTGTTCACACTTTGCGTTTTCGCTCGGTTTCGGGCCTGGGGACCCTCAAAGATCGATCCAGCTCGAAAAATGCCGAAGAAAGATGGGGTCCGGCGACTCAATTTTTTCGAGCCGGGCGTTTTCGTCTAGTTTCGGGCCACGGGACCCTCTCAGATCGACCCAGCTAAATGCAGCAGAAATATAAGGTTTAGGGCTCTGGTCGTGATTGTTCACGATGCTGTCATTAATTCGACGCGTGGGATCTCAGGGCACTCCGAATTCCATCATCAAAGGGGGGTGCTTTGATTTCTGGGGGGGTGGTCTGCTTGGAGCTGTCTTGGAGGGTTCCAGTGGGGTCTGGGCACAAGGCCGCCCTTTCATGGTTGATCTGGGGGGGAGGGTTGTGACCCTCCCACCATATTGCGAAATTTGCAATGGTCGAGCAAGGTCAAGATGGCGGCTTCTTACTGCTCTCGGTGTCGCAGGGCCCTCGCCTGGGCCCTGGGACCGTCAAACAACGGCTCGGGATGAAAGCCACCTCGGGGCAAAAGATCGGGACTTCCCGGGGGTGGGGGGGGGGGGCGTATGGACAATTCAAGACGTCGGACCTCCAAGCACGCCGTGGAGCCTGGCCTAGTCGAAACGCTGCCATCAGGAACCCTACATGAGGAACAAGGCTCACTTATTTCTAGAAGTTGAACTTCGATCTCCTAACGAATAAATACATAAGGAATAAGGTCCCCCTTTTCTCCAGATAGGTTGAACTTCGATGTCCTACAGAAAGCCGGAGGAAAATCTGAGACAAGCTGCAAAACAATGAAGGAACATTGGGTCCCTCCCCAACGAAAAGGGTTCCTTCTTCAGCGGCCCGACTGTATTGACAAGTCAGAACGTCGGACCTCCAGGCAGGATGGGTGAGCCCACTTTCCACCACCATTACCATATGCAGGACAGGGAGAAGGAGGAGGAGGAGGAGGAGGAGGAGGAGGAGGAGGAGGAGAACCTCCTTATCCTCCCTTCTCCCCCGTCCTCCAAGTGGTAGACGGTAGCGGAAAATTTGCCTATCAAGGCATGCCGTGGAGCCTGGCCTGGCCACCTGGGTGCCGGCGCGGCGTGTGCTGGCTGCGCGCCCTCTTCGGGGGGGGGGCGGTGATTCCTCCCGTCGGCGGCCAGCCTCCTCGCGTTGTGGAAAGATCGCGGCCTGAGGTTTTCCTGTTTCTTCGGCCTTCGGGGGCCCTTGCTAGGCCTCGGGACCGTCGAGGAAAGACTTGGGATGAGAGACAGGTCCCGGGGAAGGGGTCGAGACCTCTGGAGGGTCCACGTTGTGAAAAGGTCACGACGTCGGGGGTCTGGGGAGTGACCTCTGGTGCGGGCCCGAATCGGCGGCGAGCGAGGGGGGAAGTGAGAAGGGGCGGGCCTTCTCCGAAGGCTCGGAAGGCCTCGGGCCTTCAGAGGAGTGTCCGAGGCCTTCCCGGAAGACCACGACAACTCCTCAAAAGGCCGGAGGACTTCTGAGCAGCCCCGCCGCCGTCTAAGGAGGCCTTCTCCTTCTCACTTCCCTCCCCCAGACAAGGGCGGGCGGTCATAAGGGGTGACCGAAGTAGGGGGTGGAGAAACGAGCCCTAAAGGGGCCTTTTAGGGCCCCTTTTGGAGCCAGCCGGTGCCCAAAAGGGGCCCTGAAGGTTGGGTGTTGCGGCGGTCTCAGCTCTGTTCCTG